TGTTCAGCAGCTTTCTGTTACTTAACTACAAGATCTTTAGGAGAATGAACAGGATATTGCTGAATGTTTTTTAAATCACATTTTTTTAATAGATGAGCATCTAAACTATCTAATCTTTGTTTAATCTCATTTATTTTTACACTAACAGATTCTATATTAAAATGACTGTCTAATTCACGTCGTAGAAGAAGAAGTTTTTCCGTATTTAATTCGGCTTCCAAAACATCATTTGTTTCCATAAAATTTTCAATCGTACTTATTGCCTGGAACAGTACTTTTGATAAACATGCAGTTATTTTTTTTTCAAATTCTGTCAGATCTAGTTTCATTTTTTCATCAATCATTGTCATTATCTTTGGCTTCACTGAAGCAGTACGAATCTTATCCGTATTGGCATTGATTGCTTGAATTTGACTTTCAGTTATTGTCTTAAAATCATTATTAAGATCAAGACTATGAGCAAGTTTTTCAGTTTTTTTCATCAAACTATTCAAAGTAAATTGTAATTTCTGTTCAATCTGAGCTATGTCTCTCGGACTTGCTGTTTTCTTATCAATATCGATCATAGCACTTTCAGTAGCTGCATAATCTTCTCGCATAATGCTTTCTAGAACAACATGATAGGTTTCTTTAGATTTTTTGGTCGACTCTATTTGATAATCATTATATAGAGCTCCAAATCCTACTGTTAAAAATCCACCACCACAAAAATGATCTACTCTTATCAACCCTTGTACAATATTTAATTTTTCATGTAATTCATTATATCTACCGGACACTTTATGATTTTCTATTTGACCCAAAATCGTTCGATACTGTTCGTGAAATTTTCGACGCCAAAATTCAACTTTTCTACTTCCATCAATATATTCAAAAACATGTTTATATTCACTTAACGAAGTTAGTTGTTCTAGACGTGTTTCTAAATCTTCTGAATATTGTGAAAGATCTTCTTGTGAATGAATTGTAGTAATATGTTTAAATGATTGATCGATTTCTCGATTAAGAAATATTCCATATTCAGTTATGTATTTCACTAAGATTGCATGAATATCAGCTGCCATTTCTTTAAAACGAATATTTGCGATTTTTTCACAATTACTTGTATATAATAATGCAATATCGGCAGTTGCTGCATCAACTTCATTATCAAAATTATATGTTGGTTTATTTTTTTGACATTCATTGATAGTTTTTTTCTTTTGATTGATTTTGTCATTCAATGATTCAATACTATCGTATGTTTTATCTTGAAAATATTTCATTTGTTCATTTGTAATCGAATTATGTGTCGCTATTAAAGATTCATATCGATCTTTAATTGATTGAAATGGAGCTAGAGCATTTTTATGTTTGCTTTGTAAATCTTGAATAATTTCTGATTGAATAGCGAGACGTTGTTCAATTTCAACGATCTTTTCCTCATCTATTTTCTGATCTATTTCTGAACTTATGCTCGATTTCAAACTATTTAATTCTAATTCAACTTGTGATTTTTTCTCATTCTGATGCGCAAGTTCTATATCTCGTTTATTTTCAAGGTCTTGCATTTCATGATTTAACTTATTGATATCAGAAAAATCATTTTGTCGTAAAAAAACATTTGCTGGATGTAAATCTTCGTAGTCTCGTTTCATTTGTTCGAGTTGGATTAATTCCTGTTTCATCTGATAAACATTAATATCTTGTAATTGAAATTTTGTTTGCATACGATCAAAATTACTCTGTATACTTTTCAGAAAACGTTGAATCATTTCATCTTTAGAACTTTTTAATTCTGGTACACTACGTTCAAGAACACTTAATGAGTCAAGCTTATCAAATATTTCTTGTGCTATAGAAATATTTTCTGGATGTTTCATACTTAAATCTAATTTCATTAATCGTTCTTCTAATTGATGGAAATATTGAGTTAATTCATCTGTAATACGTGTGATCGAAACATCATATGCTCCTGGGCTAACACGATTCATCCATTTTGCATTTTTTATACGTGATAATAATCGTGCAATCTTTGTATAATTAGGGGTTTCTGATTGAGATTCTATCGATATTAATAAATCTTGAACTTCTCGTTGAACTTGATTCATATGTCCACGTATAAAGTCAACTGTACGATAATAGGTTCCTGCTGTTTTCGAATCGATTTCAGGAATAGTTCGAATAGCATCCATATCATTAATTAATGATTCTGTATCTTCAAGTGCACGATCTCCATGAACTTCAAACAATTTACTAATACAATTATTGATCTGATTGAAATAGTTCACGATTTTTTCAATCAATAAATTATAAATCTCACTAACATTTTTGATATTTTCGACTGATCTCTCGTTTTTCTTTCTTAACATATCAATATAGGTAGAAATACGATCTTGCAATGCAGCATTTTCTTTTGCTGTTCCTAGTATTTTAACTGAATTTTTAACAATATCGATTTCATTTTCATTTAATCTCGGTTTGATCAAGTATGTACCAGCTTTTTCTACGAAATTCGATAAATATTGTAAGAGTGATTGAACTACATATTGATATTTTTCTTCGATTAGTCCTTGTAAATGTTTATTCAAAATTGGTACACATTTTGATATTTGCAAAATTAAATCCGCAATTTTATCAAATTCATTCGTACTAATTAGTTCATTAGCTGGTTCGATTAATTTTTCAAAACGTTCTCGAAAATTTTGACAAATTTCACTATACAGCGATTCAATTTGTACGAAAGAATTTTTCAATAGAAGAAGATTATTAAAATATACCCTTATCAAAGCACTATGTAACTCTTGCTCTATCAAAATTTTACTTCTGCTTTGAAGTTCACTATTGATATTTTGTATCAATGATTCAGGTGACAATAGATCTTCTTCTAAATGTGTGATTAATTTTTGACTATCTTGAATATATTGAATCGAGTTTCTATATTCATCAATATCTTCTTCTCTTAATCCATCTTGACTAGCTAATGAACGATTAAATTTTTTTGTTATTTCTGTACAAAAGGCTGTCAGATTTTCTTTTGCTGAACGTATTGCATCCTCATATGCATCTCGAGCTGTACTAACTTCAAGTAAATCTTTTAATGTTTTTAATTTATCTAAATAGTGTGAAACAAGATCAATATCTTTGTGTTTTAATGCACATTTAACACTAGAACTATCTCGTTGTGCTTGATTTGCGACACAAGCTTGAGTTTCTTCACTAATCGAAAATCGAAATACTTCTGCAGGATACATAATACCACGTAGATACCTCAATTTTTCAATAAGAGTCTTTGGATCTCCACTGAGTGGATTGATATTTTCAGCACCATCTTTAGTTTTATTGATCATATCTGTCAATACTGTTACAAACGCACTGTCCGATCGTAACAGAGGATCTGTGTCGACTTTAGAAATTTTAATATCAATTAACAAAGCAGATATGTCAATATTTGGTGGATATTTAGTGAAAGCGTAAAAAATGGCGCTAAGTTTCTCTTGAATTCCATGTACCATATTAATTAAGAGATGAGCAAGTTTCTGAATACCTTGCCCTCTATCACCTAAGCTTTTATAACTTGAAAGCGCAAGAATTTTGACACTTTTACATCCTTGCAAAGCTTCGATGACGCCTACTCCATTAGCAATATCGACTTCTGGACCTGCAGTATCGCCAAACCCTGGTGCATCACATACGATGATTTCTCCGAATTCATAGGGACCAAAAACATCTCTTAATGGAATTGTTACAGGTGCGATATATCGAGTTTCTGATTTACTGAAAGCACTATTTGTTACACCCATCAAATCAGGATTCCTAATAGGCCCATCTACGGTAATATGTTCCAAGAATTTTCCAGACTCAACTTCTACTTTCATCTGTTTCATTTTTGAACCGGTCAGAAACTGTATTGTAGTTGATTTTCCTGTTCCAGTTTCACCGATCAAAAGTATTATTTCTTTACCAGCAATAAGTTTAGCAGCATCTTTGGCTTTTTTAACAAGTCGCTCAATTTCTTGAACATCTAATGGTCGAATTTTCATTAAAAGTTCGACTAAACAACGTACTGTCAATGGAGTATTACGAATAGACACATAGCGTTCTAAATCTTGCAAATTTCCTTGAATTTTCTCGGAAAATAATTCTTGTTTCTGAATTTGCTTTTGTAATTGGTTTAACGTCTCGTTGATGAAGATTTGATCGTATGGAATCTCATTTCCGTTTAAATTCATCCGTTGAAAATGTTCCAAAAGTTGCATGACAGTTTTTTCTACACATGATTGCATAACAGTCCAATCTCGATGAAGAATATCAAGATCATCTAATTTCTTTTTCTCAGAATCATATTTCGTACTCGGAGAACTGTTCACAACTTCTGGAACAATATTAATCGGTTTCGATGCAACAACTGCAAGTGGTTTCTCCGTACTCTCTTTAAGACTCTTTATTTCATCAGCCAGTTTACTTAATGCTTTTAAATCTCTTAAATATTGTTGTTCTTTTTCAGCTTCATCGACTCGACCTTCTTCCTGATATTCACTAATTCGTTTCTCTGATCGTTGAATTTTTTCTGATAAAATTGATACATTCGGTATTCTTAATTTTAGTAAACTATTGGCTAGTTTCACTTCTAATATGCGAAGCTTGGATTCAGGATCATCTGGATGACTGGTTGTCTTTATTTTATGAGTAGATAGATTATCTGCTAGCTTTTGAAGTTTATTCAATTCATTCAAATAAATCATTTCATTATCTACTTCGTCTGCACGACCTTCATCTTGATATTCTTTTATTCGTTGCTCATATCGTCGAATTTTTTCGGGTAAATCTTTTACATTTGAAATCTTGAATTTAGTTAAACCGCTTCTCAATCTCTGCTCTAATTCATCTAGTTCTGGTTCAGTAACGTCGAGTTTTAAAGAACGAATTTCTTCAGCAAGTTTTTGCAACATTTTATACTCGTTCAAATATTTCTGTTCTCTTTCCAAATCATCAATTCTACCTTCATCCTCATACTCTTTTATTCGTTCTTCAGATTTAATAATTTTATCTGATAATTTTGTAAGATCCATAATTTTCATATTCGCTAAACCAGTAGCCAATCTTTGTTCTAGCTGATTGAGCTTGAATAATTTACTTTTTTCACTATCGCTATCTGTCGATTTTCGAATACGTATATCTTCAGCAAGTTTTTGTAATCTTTTACACTCATTTAAAAGTTTTTGTTCTTTTTCAACGTCATCTGATCTACCTTCTTCTCGATATTCTTCGATTCGTTTTTCGGATCGTGCTATTCTCTCAGACAATACTTGTACATCTGAAATTTGCATTTTGGCTAGATTATCAGCTAATTGTTTTTCTAAATTTGCTGTATCTAAATCAGAAACATTCAATTTTGCTCGATTGATTTTCTCAGCAAGTTCTGCTAACATTTCATATTCTCTCAAATAGTTCATCTCCTTTTCTGCATCTTCTATTCTTTCTGTTGCTCGATATTCTTCAATTCGATCTTTTGATCGTCGAATTCTGTCAGACAATATGTTTATATCAGATATTTTGAATTTTGCTAAGCCACTACTGAGTCTTTTTTCGAGTTCACCTAAATTCATTTGATTACCTTCACATGATGTTGTAGGACAGTTTTGATCTTTATGCCAAGCTGATAATCCTTCGTCAGTCGAAAATGAACTGAAATTCTGCTGGCTTGATGATTGATGCAAATCTGAATTTTGCACTGCATTTAATAAGTTAGCTATGGTTAGCGTTGCGCTTTTGGTTCGATCTTCGTGTTTTAACATAGTTTTAGAACGTAAAATATTTTTTGCAAAGATTTCAATGAAGTTTTTCTGTAATTCGTCTGGAATACAGTCAGAACCTGTGACAGGATCAATAAATTGAGATCGTTCAATCTGTCCCATCGAGTTCCATTCGATTAAAATTCCAGTCCAATGATGATTTCCCAATAGATAAGGAATAAGTATAATACGTTTACCACTGTAACATTTCTCGGCCTCTCGAAACCTTTCTTCAATTTGACCACTGACAGTATCATTAGCAGTAATTAGCACATAAACTGGTGTTGAAAAATTTTCTGGAGACCGTTGCCGTAATGCATCCAATTGCCTTGATAAATCGTTCTGGATATCAGTTGACCGAAATGCTTGACTTGATCCGTACCCAAAACTTTCCATTGCTGAAGATACTGACTATTTTGTACTAGGTCAGTTGAATTTCAGTGCTTGTTGAAATCGACAGCACAATTGTGAATGAAAAGTTGTTGTGGACTTTAACTAAAATAAAAGAGATTTGATTTTGATTGAAATTTTATCCTAGTCTCAATATCAGTATGAATCACTTTACAAAAGACGATGGGTGAGGGTAAGCTATTGTCACTCAAGTCGTAAAAAATGAAGGGTCTGCATCCGTAAACGACACAATTACATGGATACGTATATAATTTAAAGCTTGGATTCAAATATTCAGCAATTCAAGTATTCAGCTATTCAAGTCTCAAGAATTCAACTTTCAAATATTCAATAATGGGCCTGAAAAATAGACGGATATTCTTATTGAGGAGAGCGATTGGCAAGCTAAGGTGCAACGTCAATAGAAATGTTACAGCTTGATAGTCCCATCCTAGCACAGAGCCACGATCAAAACTCGTCTCGGTGTACACTGTACTACCTTTCTGAAAATAAATAACCCAGGAGATTGTCTAGACTTTAGACCCACTGATGAAAGTACCGGATGCATGAAGTTGAGGGATTACGCTACTTCCATTCGGTTGTTATATAACTTCTCTATGTTCACAGTGCACTTTGAGTAGGGTTCATTCTCGAAGGTGTGGTGCATTGTTTTTGTGAAACAGGGTGCTACCATGTATTATAGTTCGGATGTTAGTGTGTGAAACTGGGGTGATACGTTTCTCTTAATATAGAGTAGATCGAATACTGTGATTTTCACTCCTAGACGAGCGATCGCTTAATCAGTTAAAAAAAATATCAGTTCTTAAAAGATGAATGCTCAAAATGTGAACACTTGAATACTGAAATTCAACTTTCAAGTTTGAAATTGCTAGACATCGCTACTTTTCAACAGCACGCTTAATAATCTAACAGAGTGTGGGTGTGGGTGTGGGATGTTCAGAAACATAAGAAAAGATCCACACTGACACCCACACTCACAACCACACCATGCATCAAAAATCAATGCAACATTCCAAGGTTAAAAGGGCTCTATAAATAGCAAATGTTTTCGATCACTTACAAGATAAAAACATATCCAGGCTCTAAGAATAGTGTGGAAAGCATAGAAAAAATTGCATGATTCACTGGGCAATACTATGATGATGTCCCATATACCATCGATAAAAATCCGATGCCCTACTGATGGCATGTTACAGAACTCCATTTATGTAATGGTTTATATATAATATACTTATATTTTCTTAATCCAAACAGTTAAGATTCACTTGATCGGATGCATCACCATCCCAATAATGATCTTTATTTTTTATTTTCCATTCATTTTTATATTGCACACACACCCTTTTAACAAGCTGCTATAGCTTCCTCCTTCAGAAACGTTAGAAACAATGATATTCGAATTCGAACTCGAAAGTATCCACAGAGAAAGACCTTCATGAGAATAGTCTATTGTGAAAGTTTCAGATCTTTTCGATGCTTTTATCATAAGGTATGCTTATGGTAAAAACTGCCTTTTACGTCGCTCATATACATGGGTAGACTGGATGCTAATATTCCAGGAGAGCACCCAAGCAGACAAATATTTTCAAAAACGCGTTTAAACGCAAAAAAAAGGGCTGAAAATACGAAAAAAGTTTACGTATTTGCCTTACAATCGCGGCGCCCGACTGTCAGCGAAAAACAACCAGTTTTCGTCCTTTTTGTGTGTTTAAATACGTTTTCAGCAATAAAACCCGTGTAAACGCATAAAACGATGATAAAAGGTTGTTATTTTCCATGTGAAATTTTAAGCAGAAAAGCTCGCTTAAAGTAGCTTAAATTTTTCGCTGAAAAGTGCTGAAAAGCGCACATTTTAAGCCGTTGGGAAGTGCTTACAATTAGGTCTTTAAGTGCTTTTGAGCGCTTACAATTGAGTATCTAAGCACTTTTAAGCGCTGAAATCGTAAGTGTTGCAAATGCTGAAAAGCGCACATTTTAAGCAGCCGAAAAGCGCTTACACTTGCATCTTTAAGCGCTTCTAAGCACTGGATTTCAAAGAACGGACATTCGTAGATGATCCACTCTGACTGCCATCATAATGTGCCTGTATATATAGTACCACTAGAATATCATAACCCTCAAAATATTCTGAGTCTTGTCCATATTTAATTAAGATAATGGCTTCTCATCGAACTCCTGAATTAATAGCTTTTGGAAAGAAAGGTATTTTTGAATTTCG